TCCTGGATATGAAAACCTTGTCTATAATTAAGAATGTAATTACAATCCTATAATTCTTATTTAGATAACTATCATGTGACTTAATATTTTAAGAATTATGGTGTTCAGTATTTTCTTTTAAACTCCCTAGCAATCACTCACTATACCAATGTGGAGAATTTTTGATGAGTTTTGTTGAAACAAGTTCCATCTTCACTTGGCACACTATTCATGATGATGAAATATCAGTATTGACTCCTAAATTCCTAAATTGTATGATCAGGTGATGACCTTTACTTCTTAGAGAACCACAATAAATTTCTTCACACATAGTTTGAATGTGTTTAAATGTTTTCTTTCCTTTCACCTAAATTTCTTACAAATAAATTTTACTTTGCTAGCCATAGTAACAACAGGACTGATCATTTCATGTACAGTTATAAATGGCATGTAACACTTTGAATTCTAGCAGCACTATGATTCTGAACATTTCAGAAGTTGGAACTATAAAATATAGATATTGGAAACTCTCTCTTAAGGAATACTACTAATCAATTCAAGACTGACAAATAGTCAATGCAACTATTTTTACTTTGATATTTCATTATAATTCATGAATCCACAGCACTTGCAAGTTGCTCTAGACTACAGAGTAAATTTCCACAACCTTAACACATATAACTGGGCAAGGAAAAGAAAAGAAAAGAAAAGAAACAAAAAGAAAATTAAAGAAAAGAAAAGAAAAGAAAAGAAAAGAAAAGAAAAGACAAAAAGTCATCAGGCCTTCTAAAAGTGAAGATGATAATCTTTGATGACACCATCAAAGTGTCATCTGAGAAACAAATCAACATATCAACAAGAAAATTAATTAGACAAACTCAGTTTAGTTTATGCATTTAAAGAGACCTATTACAATAGCCTCATTAATATTGTTAACTATTTAGAAGTTACTGATATGTTTGACAAAAACATTCACTTTTCACATTTTTGTCTGAATTGAGATTTTCACTTGACTATTGCCTTCCCCATAACTGGATACAAGTTTTAAACAGAATGCAACTTCTATATTTCTTAACTCTTAGATGCACAACAGTTCTGTAGCATAAACACATGACAAACTTGATCAACAGAGTGAGCCACATTCCATTAATATCATCAGATGGAAAAGGACAAAAATATTTCAGGTTTATGTGAAACAGCATCACAAAATTAACATCTATTCATCAAAATACAAAGCAGCTCCTTCTCCTAATTTTGGGAACTTTAGGAACTGCAGATTCACTCATATCAAATGGTGGCAAATGTTTAGAATTATTTACAGAACATTACAATGACTATTTATGCGAGAACTTTTACTTTCCATTTGAACTTTTCTTCAAACAAATATATCATACAGTGCTACAATTGATACTTGAGCAAACCAGACTTGGATCTTATTCACCAGTATGACCTCAAGCAAATAACTTACTCACAATGAAGTTGTGGTTACATTTTTACCCGTGAACTTGGATAATATTTGCGTAAAATTCAATTCCACAGCGGTATTTACATATTCGCAATTAGTCCTCCTGGCAATATAATTATATATCCCTACTCCTCTACTCACTTTAAGTTTCTATCTTTTTGTAATTCTTCACTCTTCCTCCAATGTTAATCTGCTTCCTGCACTCTTCAATCACTTGGGATAACTTCTCTAAAAGAGGGTCAATGAATGAGCCAACCCATTCCTCGACTGTGTCTTCATAAAATATCTCTAGCAGCCAAGGGATGAAATGGGATCGAAGTTCTGTCAAATTCTGAAGAACTCTGGAAGCCAGAAGAATTGCATTACATTAAAAGCTTTCATCTCAATTTACAAAAATGTAAAGTGACAAATAATCTTAAACCCTATATGAAAAAAATCTTATATGTCAATACTATTAGAAACCAAATAAGAAATTATTTAGACTAATTTCCCGATTCTCACATCTCCCTCATGCCTTTAAATAATAAGCTGAAATATACTCACTCTTGAAGAGGTTTCATTATACTTTCCACTTGAACAGGATTAGTGAAGTTTTTGGACCTTTGGTAGTCACTGAACCAACCCAACATCCTTAAAAAAAGTAATAATAATTGTAAGAAAACACTGATGCTGATAATTGTAATAATAGTAACAAGAAATTTCTAATAGTTTGTATTGTTCTTGCTCCTTGTTTGACCCAGAGATAATGTGATGTTAACTGTAATACTGTTTTGTGAAATGTATCTGCACACTGATGGCTCTACAAATACTCAGCCACCAAGGAGTCATTTAGAAGCCTACAAGCCCTCACAAAGGAAATCTACATTTGACAGTGCATTTCCTGGAAGCAACAGGATAAGTAAACAAACTTAAGGGATAGAGAAAGACAAAAAGGAATGATTGCTATTTATTATGCTGTCTTTTACCCTTGTCTATTTTTAACACAAGGAATCACTATATCAAATATTCCACTGAATATATTCTTTATACTATAAATCATACTTAGAACAAACCAGA